ACCACCACAGGGCATGTACGGAACCCCTGAGCTATCTCGATATAATACTCCGCAGGCATACCCACCACGTGGCCCGCCAATGCCACCGGCTGAAGAGAGGAGAGAACAGCAGGGACGAATTCCTGCCGCTAATGTGCCTCCTAGACCGAGTAGCCAGCCGAGATCCTATCACGGAATTCCCCCGAGATCTGTAGACATGGGAAGAGGCCCGCCGACTGGAGATCCTGTCTACGGTAGGCGAGAAGATGTACGACCCCCTGGTCCGGCGGAGTACAACCCAGAGCGACCACCCCGAGCCGTCCCCTATGAAGACCAGCGTCGTTTCGTTTCCGAGAGAGAAATTAGGGAGCAGATGAACAGGGAAGCGGAGTTTCGGGAAAGGGAGCGAAGAGATAGGGAGAGGATGCATTACGAAGAACAGCGCACTTTCATGGCCGATAGAGAACGCATCGAGAGGGAAAGGGAGAGAGACCGTGAATTAGAGAGGGAAAGAGAAAGGGGAAGAGAGCGAGATAGGGAAAGGGAAAGAGATATGGAAATGCGCGAAAGGACTAGAAGGGAAAGGACAACGTCTGATCCGAGTCATCCCCACGGTCAACCTCCTGGAGAACTTGGCCCTCAGGTACTTTCGCGACAGCCTCCTTACGGAAGACCTGATCCTCGAGATCCAGCGGCCTGGCAGCGGCCTGGCTATGATCAACCACCACCAAGAGATGCGTATGGTCAAGCATATCCCGGTCCCCGGCCAGGTGAGTTTCCTTCGACTACAGCAGCGCCATACGGATCGCATCCTGCATATGCGCAGGCACCTCAAGAACGCTTCCCAGCTGCCGGGCCGCCTCCCCATGTGATATCCGTAACGCAACCAGGCCCACAGCCTACTCATCCGTTCGAATCTCCCGAGAGACATCGGTTTGTTCAGGCACATCCTCAGCAGCAACCGCCCGCACCAGCAGCTCATCGAAGTCGACCCGCCGAAGAGGGCCCACCTCCCCCTTCAGTTGCGTATAACGGCGGACCTGGTTCAGCTGCGTTCGAAGCAAGTCGACCACCACGTACTATAGATGAAGGTCCACCTCCTCCTGGACACCAGAGAAGTTTTCTCGGCATTCAGGAGATCAACCGAAAAGGCCGGGTATCTCCGCTGCCACAGGCGGTTCAGGGAGCGCAACCACAGTTGCAGGGCCCCGCCGGCGAGCCTGGGATTAAGAGTGAATTCGGCCGCATGTTCTCCGGCATAGGAAGCGGTGTGCGCGGTATCGGTGTCTCTAGCCCAGTGCCACCCGGCATGCAACCCCAATTCTCGAGCATAGGTCCTGTGCGACGTGATGATGAGCATCCCGGCCATGAGTTACTCGCGGACGCTCCTGTGAAGACGGGCGCGAGAGGGAAACGAAGAAAGGCAAAGGACGAGGACGGCAAGGGCGACGACGATAGTACTGGTAGGATCACACCAGTCGGCCGGGCCAAGCGTCCTAAGACTCATGCTCATCACCACCATCACCAGTAAGTAGTAACTCGTATCTTCCACCTGCTTTCGACCGATATTCATTGTAATATTTTTTTAGTCATCATCACCACCACCACCACGGCCCGGAAAGAACTACATCGCCCCTTCAGGCAGCCAATGGGCAGCTAAAAAATATCAAAGCTAACACGCCGATATCTTCCCCGACACGTAAAGACTTTACAGCTCTCACTCATCATCACCCACCTCCTAGGTCAGTCGCAGCTCCGTCTTCGAAGCCGGCGGGCCCCGGTTCGACTATAATCCCAAAGCCGAAGCACAAGATCTCGTCTCAAGCGGTCCTGGATAGCGTTGCGGATCGCCCGCGGAAACATCTCGGTGATGTCGTGTATCAAGTGGTTTTGAAACCTAGCAAATTAGACTCGTCCCATTCTAAATTCGGCTACTCATCCAATCCGCGCCCGCTTCCCATGGACATAATCAAAGGCAACGAAAATTCGACCTTGACGGTCAAGATCCCCCGTGTACATCTGAGCCCGTCCGCTCGCGAAGAAATAACGTCTCGCCGGGCCGTCTGGGGCACGGACGTTTATACGGACGACTCTGACGTTGTTGCCGCGTGTATTCATGCTGGCTGGATTCGAGGGGAGTGGGGCGACGACGTGGACGTTGATCTGCTAGATTTGTACAAGCCCTCGAATTCGAAGAAGCAGCGCTCGATACCTGCTGAGCAGCACCTCGAAGTTTTGACTTCGCCACCGGCCTCCGGCCCGGTCCACGTACCCGCAGACCGCGATTTGCATGTGACGCTTCTCGTCTTACCTGCGCTTGAGAAGTATAGTAGCTCGACGCGCTTTGGTATCCAGAGCCGCGAGTTTGGCGGGACGTATAACGGACGCAAGTCAATTCATGATGGAATTAGCTTCATGATCCAAAGCGTGCGTTGGGTGGATGGTGCGGCGCCGCAGAGTAGGCTTCGAGGCAAGGCGCGTAGGGAACGAATTAGGAAAGCCATGAGTGAAGTCAACCGGAGTCAGGTGGTGGACATTGGCGAAAAGGAGATCAAAAGCAAAATGGTAGCAGCAAGGGATATCAGCGTCGCCAAGGAGAAGAGCAGTGGGAAGTCAGCCGACAGTAACGAAGAAGGCAATAAGGAGAATCGCCCTGATACTGCGTCGAATAATCCTATCCCTACGCCAGACCAGGAAACCTCTAGTACAGTCACGAACACGGATCTAAAAGGCGAAGTAAGGGACAAGTACGGCTCCGCGGAAAGTCAGAGCGTAAAGATGATAGATGCTATCGCTACCGTTGCTACTGAAGAACCGGAGAAACATGGGACGGACGAACCTACGAGTGCTTCTATGTAAGCATGGGGTTCTGAAACCGTCGGCATGACGGAGAACAGCGACAGCGGGAGGCGTATTGACTGTTGATATTGGGAATGGAATAATCATTGAAGCTAGAGCTGGAAAGATGTATATTAGAAGGATCTGATACATCGTTGTCTTTCCCCAAATCTTCTGAGTCATGGTTTTCCGAGATACCTCCCTATGTATCGTTGCTCTTTTATGTATCTACATAGCATAGCGCGGAGTTTAGAGCAAGACCATGTGATGACAATATATAAAAATCACTAAAGTTGCGCCTTAATTATAATGGGCTGACAACCCGACACAGGGGGGAATATCGTATAGTTGAAACGTGGTAGATTTACTTTGCAAATGTTGCTTGCAGCAAATACTTCCAATGGTTGTGACGTCTCGTGTGCCTTACTTCATTGAATGCTAACCTGAATTGATTTTGGTTATAAGCACAAGGACACCTACTCCCATAGAACGCCGTTACCGTGGCTTTGACTCGCCCCATACATAATAACCGGGCTGATGATTATTAATTGCTCTCAGAATTGCGTGGGAATAACGGTGAGCCTATCTTCACGCAGAAGCAAGCAACTAAATCAATATATCTCGTCTCAACTTAATAGCACATCGCTGGCCCCGTCGGTTCGGCTGTTCGTTTTAATGGCGCAATCTACGAAAGGCACGCTTTTAGTAAGATGCGAGTTTCTGAATTCCATCATCGATTGCAAAGACAACCGAGCATCGGTCGAAAGGGCGCGACTCGAATATAATTAAAATCGAGTAGTGTATGAGCAGGACATAAGCATGGCGATGCCGATAAATCGCTAATGGATTGGTAAGTCATCGTTATGCTTCCTTTTGCAATCGATCGAGAGACAGGTGATGGAGGAACCAAGCTTTGGCTCGCCTCTAGCTCTCTTTGTCTGTACCAGTAGCGTTATGGGAGGCCCGCGGAGCACACTTATCCTGCACACCAACCAACACTAGTAGTGATATACAATCCCAACACGGGCACGGGGTAAAGTTGCATCGTGAACCCCAGTCAGCTCTCAAAAGTCGGTAACCCGCCCGTTGAAGCTATAATCGCCGCCAGGGCCCCAGCGAAGCGGCTCATTTTTGGGGCCACCCACCTCACCCGTCTTGGGATTAACGTCACCCTCAAACTCGGGTGGCGCACCTTTCCGTAAGGGTACCGAGGCGAGTTCATCCTCGATGGCTGGCGTAGCGGCTGTTCGTCCGTCTGCTGTCGCCGGGGTACCAGTGGCCGGGGGATTGGAGATGGGTGAGCTAAAGTCGGGAGTCGAGGTAGGATTGAAGCCTTCTTGAGTGTTGGCTGTGCGCTGTAATCGCTCGAACTCGGCTTGCTGGTCGGGAGGCAGCCGCGGAGGAGATGGCATTGACTGGAAGGGATTCGAGTCGCTCGAAGCGCGGCGCTGATGTTGGATGGGGAGGGACATTGCGGAGAGGTGCTGAGGACGTGCGGATGGTCTCGCAAGCCGGGCGAGGCGGGTGAGGCGGAATGCCATGATGCCGATTATGTACCTAGTCTATCGTATGAGCGACTTCAATTCGTAAGTAGATGTAGTTGAGGAACCTTTGAAGCTTTCTAGAAAGTACCAATTAGTGGTAAAAGAGCAGTCTTGGTACGGAGTTATAAATGCTAATGTGATGTGGCAATGGAATGTAATAGAATGGAATGAGTGTAGGACATAGAGAAAGAAGTCGGAGACAGAATTCTGAATAATATCGGCCGAGCTTACGCTAATATGTAAGCGGGCCACGCTTTTTATCTTTATCTCGGCACGGAGCACTTTCCATCGACTTTCCTTATTCTCTTGGAAAATCATTTCTGATTGGTTGGCAGCTTCAGACACTGCATGTACATACTCGATACAGGCTTTTGCTTCCACTGCTCGTTTATGTAAATGGATATCTACCTACCTAGGTATGTACCTACATAAGGTAGTACATGATAGGCATAATATACATGTATATACATACTTTGATCTATCCACATAGCTATAACCCCATCTCTTAAAAAAGATATTATATTATTACGAGGAGTGGGTGATATCAAGCCAATTTGAAACTGGGTGGCGTTCGAAGCTTGAAAACAGGTTTAAAGTGGAATAAAAAAAAATGGTAAACCACTTTAAAAAAGACTATCCCGAGCACAGCAGGGATCGAACCTGCAATCTTCAGAGAACCGGAGAACCGTGAATGGAACCGAAATCTGACGCCTTACCATTAGGCCATGCGCCCTGAGCTGTTGAGATACTGTTGGCCGTTAAGCGCAATTATGAATTCGTTTGTTTGTGGGCACGAGCTAGGCCATCACGGTGGATACCGTGGAAGCCCGAATATTCCAGACTGCCGAGTATTCTGCGAGGCTATTCGATATACAGTATAATACTTGCTCACTTTATTAAGCCTTGGAAATGGCCAACTGTGAGAAAATTAAATGGTGGCGTCTGTGGCTGAACTACCGCTGTAGTAGTCCCTTACAGTTTTGATTACTGTACATGTACGTAGGGGACAGTGCAGGGCATAGCAAGGGAAGTGGGATGGTGGGATGGTGGGATGGTGGGGTTGAAACGGGACTCCGGTTATCGCATTGGGAAAATATGTGTATGTACATACATGTACGTGTAAACTCGAAATACTGTACCTTGGTACATGTAAAATGTCGTTTCGTGTTGACTCAGACCTCAACTCGTCCTTAAAGAATCACTTTCCGTCCCTCTTCGCCTCTCTCTCTCGCTCTCTTAGCTCTTACCATTGACTCAATTGACCTAGCTAGGACATCATGGAAGGCCTCAAACAGACGTTCAAGCGCTGCAAAGCAGAGAACCGGGTATGATTAACCATTCAGTCCTCTTGCATTCTATGTACACAGTCAGACTATAACACTATACTGCCGCCAACTCTTGAGGTTAACTCGATATACTGACTGAGTCTTCGCATAAATAGGCTGCCTTGGTAACATATGTCACTGCGGGCTATCCGAAACCTGAGGATACTCCCGACATCTTGTTAGGATTGCAGAAAGGTGGTGCTGGTAAGTTGTGGCAAATAGACGTTTCGTGCCCCCGTCCCACCAACAGCAGCAATTAACGACGAATTTAAGATGTAATCGAGCTCGGCGTGCCCTTCACAGACCCAATTGCGGACGGCCCTACGATTCAGACGGCAAATACCGTCGCCCTCGCCAATGGAGTCACCATCAAGTCCACCTTAGAAATGGTTCGCGACGCCCGATCCAGGGGGCTGACTGCTCCGGTTCTGCTGATGGGCTACTATAATCCCCTCCTCAGTTATGGCGAGGATGAGCTACTACGGGATTGCAAGGCCGCGGGTGTCAATGGCTTCATTGTCTGCGATCTGCCTCCTGAGGAAGCCATCTCTTTTCGAAAACTGTGCAGCAAGGGATCGTTGTCCTATGTTCCTTTGATTGCGCCTGCAACATCCGATACCCGTATGCGCCTTTTGTGCGCCTTGGCCGATTCCTTCATTTACGTTGTTTCACGTATGGGCGTGACTGGTGCTCTGGGTACCCTCAATGCCAATTTACCAAATCTCCTTGAGCGGGTCAAGAAGTACAGTGGCGATAAACCAGCCGCTGTTGGCTTTGGTGTTTCGACGCGTGAACACTTCCAGTCTGTGGCTTCCATTGCGGATGGTGTCGTTATTGGTTCGCAGCTTATTACAATTCTTCAGAAGGCCGAACCGGGTAAGGGGCCCCAAGCCGTCCAGGAGTATTGCGCCTATGTAAGTGGACGCACGACACAGGAGACGACGCGAGAAGTGGGAGTAGTCGAAGCTATAAGTGCATCCAAGGAGCCTAGCGGCGAGGACGTGACGGTCAACGGAGTAGTTTCCGAGCACGACGATGCAGCCTTGGTTGCTCAACTTGCGGCCCTCCACGGCAAGATCCCCGAGCGCTTTGGTGAGTTTGGTGGTCAGTATGTCCCCGAGTCTCTCATGGACTGCCTATCCCAGTTGGAGGATGGTTTCAATGCCATTAAAGACGACCCTAAGTTCTGGGAGGAGTATAGATCATATTACCCCTGGATGGGACGACCGGGCCAGCTGCATCTGGCTGAACGTCTGACCGAATATGCCGGCGGCGCCAATATCTGGTTAAAGAGAGAAGATTTGAACCATACTGGATCCCACAAGATCAACAACGCCCTAGGACAGCTACTACTAGCGAGGAGGCTGGGCAAAACCAAGATTATCGCCGAAACTGGCGCCGGCCAGCACGGTGTAGCGACTGCCACGGTTTGCGCCAAATTTGGCATGGAATGCACAGTTTTTATGGGTGCCGTAAGTTTTTCCATTCTACCACGTGCGGAATACGGCAATGGCTTACAACGTGCTTTAGGAGGATGTCCGGCGTCAAGCATTGAATGTCTTCCGAATGCGGCTGCTCGGTGCCAAGGTCATCGCAGTCGAAGCCGGCAGCAGGACCTTGCGCGATGCTGTCAACGAAGCGCTCCGTTACTGGGTGGTTCACCTCGACGACACTCACTACATTATTGGCTCCGCTATTGGCCCGCATCCCTTCCCTACTATTGTCAGAACCTTCCAATCAGTGATCGGCAATGAGACAAAGGCACAGATGCAGGAAAAACGGGGTAAATTGCCTGACGCCGTTGTAGCTTGTGTTGGTGGAGGCAGTAACGCCGTCGGCATGTTTTACCCCTTCTCAAATGATCCTAGCGTTAAACTGCTAGGTGTCGAAGCCGGTGGTGACGGAGTGAACACCACGCGGCACTCAGCAACCTTGACGGGAGGCACTAAGGGCGTCTTACACGGCGTGAGAACATACGTGTTGCAGAACGAATTCGGTCAAATCTCGGACACGCACTCGGTCTCGGCCGGACTTGACTATCCTGGCGTCGGGCCCGAATTATCAAACTGGAAGGATTCACAACGGGCCAAGTTCATCGCCGCTACCGATGCGGAAGCCTTCATTGGCTTCAGACTCATGAGCCAGCTGGAAGGTATCATCCCCGCGCTCGAGTCGGCTCACGGTATCTTCGGGGCCATCGAGTTGGCCAAGACGATGAAGAAGGACGAAGACATAGTCATCTGCCTCAGTGGCAGAGGAGACAAGGATGTACAGAGCGTGGCCGATGAGCTGCCTAAATTAGGCCCTCGGATCGGCTGGGATTTGAGATTTTGAGATATTGTGGATTTGGGCGTGGTGAAGCCCTTTTAGAATCTTTGGGACTTGGTTGGAGTCGGCGTATGGGATCGAAAAAAGTGAAAACAATATGATACATGGTATTTGGTGGCATATAGAACTGCATCTAGATGCGTTTTGTACAAATTCATCATACGGTACAATGCTCAATTGCTTCCATCATCCTGGATCATTGATTTTTTTTTTTTTTTTTTCATAATCTTACTCGTGAAGCTATTCACGGTCTTGACGTCTTTGCATTTCCTTAGGATCCATTTCCTGCATAAAATGTTCAGCCTCCTTCGCAGCATCCCGGGCTTCCTCGATAACCTCAGTGTCTCCCTTGATAGTCATCTCCTCGCCCTCCCTAAGTTCGCCTATAACAAACTCGTCGCCACGCTCCAGCATGCTGTCGACCTCGCTCAGGGTGACTCCTTCAGCAGCATGATCACTTTGAAGCGGAGTCTGTACTTCTTCTTTGGGTGGCAAACCTAGCGCGGCGCGTTCTCGAGCGAAGCGTTCGCGAACGGCGGGGGTCTGCATGATTTTCCAGCGAAGGGCCCAGCCGGCAGGTCCCAGCTCCTTAATTCTTTGGGCCTTGCTTCCAAGAAGATACTCATCAATGCCACCCAGCCGGTCGATAGTTTGTAGCACACGCGCGGTCAAGCGGGTGCGGACGAAGGCGTTGAGGGAGGGCGACCACAGGCGCTTAGTATGGCGGTTGGGCAGCCAACTAGTGCGTGACTTGTTGCCATGATCTTCGGCCACGGTGTTGCCGAAGCGAATCTTGGAACCTCCAAATAGACCCTGGTTGGCTTGCTTGTATGTTCGGAAGCGTCCATATGGGTATTCGGGGACTTGGTCTGAGGGCACGGTTAGATGCGAGGGCTTCTGTCTGGATAGAGGTATGGTGGTGCTGAACGGCCGTATTATGTTTTGGGAGCGTATTTCTGCGCATGTGAATGTAGACGAGGAACAGCACCGTGATGGGGCTGGGATTCGTATTGGCGACATCTTGTGAGCTGATTGGGGAAGCTAATATTATGATTTTCTTGCTGGATATATTATGCCGGCAGCATGGAAACCACCAGTCCCGCGACTACGAGTCGGATTGGGGAAAACCGGCACCAAATTACTCGTGAGCGGCGGATATGTAAAAGCTTCAATGATACATCCAAGTACATCCAAGATGAATGTATTCCGTTTGTGAGGATGCGGATTGTGAAGATTTCTTATCGCGCTTATCGAGCCTCGATTGCTAGATAAGTAGTTTAATGCAATTTCCGATCTAACCCGAACCCGAACCCGACCCAGCCCCGAGCCGACTCTTAAATTATCCCACCGTGACATGTGACACCGCTCCACGTTCGTGATTCCTCACATATGTAGCTTCCCTTATCAATTATCGCGGGGTTCAGGATTCAGGTTCACCGCCTTATCGCCAGAACTTACAAGTTACAAGTCACAAGTCACAAAACATATCAGACTCTATACCGTCAATAGCAAGCTCACATAATGCTGCCTCCCATAGACGAAGCAGTCCTCAAGAACAACCCCGACTTCGAGCGTCTATACAAGGCCGTTACCGGGTCACTTCTCAATGCCGACGGGTCGACCAGAAGCAACGACCCAACGGCCAAGAAGCGCGATGCCGTACGCGATGTAAGTTGTATACGGCTTCATATAAGAATATATCGGTCAATTGACCTCGTGCCTAGGAACTCAGGGAACACCGTCTTAAGGCAACTAAACACCACCTTTTGCGCTGCGCAATAGCTGCAGCCGCCGCTCCCGAGGCGAGTATGAGCGGCGTGGCTCCGTCTAAACAGCAGCCCCAGCACAGACGAACAAGATCAATGCCGCAGAATCAACAGTCAAGGACCTCTGTCTCGGCTTTGCCCCCCGAGATTCTCGATCTACTACTCCTGCTCCCGCCCTTCCTCTCCAACGCCAGTAGCATGCCCAACTCCTCGCTAGCCCTCCTACTCTCACGTCCGCCCTTCTCCGAACTGAACGCCCTATTCCCGACCCTCACTGCAACCCTCTCCACCACCCTAACACGACAAGCCAACGC